TCCACCGACATGATTGCTTATGGATTATTAACAAACACTGATTGGGCAAAAGGGCCTTATTGCCACTCAGGCTTCCTCCTACTTTCCTCTACTTCTTTTTACTCCAACATGGAGGGATTGTGGACTCAGTGATTCCGAACTGATGTTTGGAAAGTGAAAACAGGAACAGTCATGAATTACTGAATGGCTGAGATCCTGCTTCAGGATTTAGACAACAGAACTGCCCTATGGGGAGAGTCTCCTTGGGGAGAGTGTCCTTGGGAAAGGGTTTCTGTTTTGTTTTTGTTTTTGTTTTTGTTTTTGTTTTTGTTTTTGTTTAAGTAACATATAGCATTACAGCTGGAAGGAGCCTTAGAAATCATCAGTTTAGCATTTTCCAAAGTGTGTTCCAAAAACTATTTAGATGGACATGATGCTTTGTTAGAAACAAGAAAGGATTCAGTGGTCAAATAGGTTTGGGAAACATTGCATATGCTCATCTTGAGCCGTAATCCACGTCAGAATTGTAGAGCTCTGTGAAGTCCTGCAGTAAGGAATCTGCTTTGCTTTAGCCCACTAGTTTCCAAACTTATTTGGCCTCAGAAACTTTGTTTTTTTTTCTTTCTCCAAAATGCCTGGAGTTGGAATTCTATGGGACATACACCAGGAGGACTGGATCTAATCCCAATTCTTCTTTTTCCATATGGAGAACCTGAGTTCCAAAGCAGTGAAATCATTTGCCCATGATCACAGGAATCGCAGGTGGTAGTGCTGAGAATAAAACCCAAGACTTCGGGCATTTAATGCAGAGTTCTTGTTTCTTCATCTAACAGACTTCTCCACTTGAAAATCTCCAGGCATTTTCACTAAGGCAACAGCTGCTAAGAGAAAGGCTACTCAAGGAAAATCATACTTTGTCAAATATCCCACAACATGGGAGGATCCTTTTACCCATGGGTCCCCACAACCAATTATCACAAATGACAAATCAAGAAGACACAGGGAAAGTCAACCATTTAGCATATGTTTGCCCCCAAATAATCAGTGTTTTGAGACCAGCTAGGATATTCTTGGACGCTTCATCTTTCTGTTTACCAAATTACAAACCTTCAGGAAATGACACCAAGTATATTATCTATTATGAAAACAAATTACCCCCAAATCTGGTGACTTAAAGCAATAAACCTTTATTATATCTCTTTGGGAATTTCTTTGGGAATCTGTGAGTGGCTTAGCTCTGTGATTCTGCATTGAGACTGCAGTTACAATGCCAACCAGAGATGGAGTCATCTGGAGGTTTCACTGGTACTGGACTGTCTCCTCTTAAGGTAGTCTCAGAAATCACACACTGTCACTTATGTCATATCCTTTCTTTATTATACATGAGCCACTGTGTCTGGCCCATACTCAAGGGGAAGAGAATTGGGCTCCCCCTTTTGAAGGAATAAGTGTCAAAGAATTTGTAGACATATTTTAAAACCACCACACCAAGAAAGAGTTGTGAGAGAGAGGATGCTAATTGAATGGCCAAAAAACCAAGGCATATTTTGGGGCTAGAAATCCATTTAGGACAAGAACAAGTGTCAACTGGAAACTCTGAAAGATAAGGAATTTAAATTTGCATGGGACCTAGAATCCCAAACTGAAGCATTGGCACAGACATCCTTGAATGTCTTGCAATAAAAAACTTCTGAATAGAAAACCTCTGAAAGAAAACTTCTATTGCTGCCACCGTGACTAGGAGAATAGGTGAAGGATTTGAATCAAGGATAAGCAGTTTGGAGAGCATAGCCAATGTTTTGACTTTTATCCTTCCAAGTTAATTTTTCCTTTCTTAAGCCTTTGAATTTTCTAAGTGTTGCAATATTCCAACATGACCAAGAGGGTCAAATTCCAGCTCAAGTTTTCAAATCTTTTTTTTCTTCTGAAGGTTTATATTCATTTCTCTATGCTATCTGAAAGCAAGATACCATGATCTAATTGCTTAAGAATTCATTTCCAAATAGATGTTGACAGAGTCTGAAAGTCTCAGAAAGATCAGACAGATCATATTCTCTCCTTTACCCAAGATTTTTTTAAATTAAAAAAACTAACAACTATGACCCCCCCCAAACTTTCCTTTGTGGCACCTGGGGTATTCCATCAATCAACATGCATTTCTTGGACATATGATAAAGATAAGAGGTTCTCTAGGACTCATAATGTATTTGGGAGTTAAACAGAAAACAGATGCAGATAAATACAATAATCACAAACGGGGGATTGAGAGAGATGAATGGGCTGAGGCTACATTGGGGCAGTTCTGTGAGATAGGTGAACTTATTAAGGACAGTGTCCCATAAAAGATGTGCTTGACCCTGGAATTTAAAACTGTTCTAAATATTTGAGGGCAGCATGGGCAAAGGCTGGGAGATAAGAGAAGGAAGATTGAATTTTTGGGCCATTAAACAGATGGGAAAAGGATGGGCCTGAATGTAGTGGGAGGTGAGACAGGAAGAGTAGGGTGGGGATGTTGAGCAAGATGAACAAACAGCTGCAAAGAATTTGGTGTGGTTGGAGCAAATCTTTTGCAGGAGTTGAAAAATTTTTTCAATATACTGCTTCTCAAACAAAACAAAACAAAACAAGCCTTTCAATTAATAGAGACTTTTAGAAAGCTGGACCTGTTGTGTAGGGAGATATTGGTTTAAGGTTCTGCCCTGCCTTCCAGGGCCCTATCCAATCACCATCAGGACTGGAGGTACACCAGCTGTAGATGGAGGAAAGGCTAGAGAGAGGCCAGTGACCGACTGACTGGCTGGCTGGCTGGCTGCTGGCTGTTTGATGATTCATTTATTCATTTATTCAACAAGCTCACAGTGAATGCCTTTAGGTTTGAGAGGCAAGTAGGATTAAATACATTGTTCATGGGACTGGGACAAATGGCAGGCAAGTCTCAATTTATTCAGCCTGAGTTTCATTTCTCTCTCTCTTTCTTTTGTTTGTGTGGAAATTATTGGAAGATTTCGATGAACATTTATTGTGCTCCTGCTCTGTATGTGTCAGGGACTATGCTAAGTGCCAGGGATACCAAAATGACCGAAACATGATACTGGCGATATGACGACAAACTTAAATATGTAAGCTAACTATTTCCTTTTCTGCCTCTGGCTTTTGCTTTGCCAAAAGGGGAGCTATTTCTCTTGGAAAAGAGTGGACAAATGTGCAGCAGGTGAACAGCATCATATTTGTGTTCCAGCTGTTGTACCAGCTGTGTCCCACTGACTGGCCTCCACCTGTCTCACTCCTGCTTCCGCCAATTCCAAGACGAGTTATTTTTATATTCATATCATGAGATGGCCCAGCTGGTGATGGAAGTGCTGTCATGCTGAATTTGGAACCGAATGCATTCTAGTTTCTGGAAACACACGTAGTAGGTGGCTACTTCCACAGCAACAGATACAACATGTAAAGTGCTGCAATAGTCAGGGAACTTCCCAGTTGCTGATGGAGGAGTGGGATCCCCTGATTTCAGATGTGTGAGGAATCTTGGACACAGGAAAAGACTGACCCAAAGTCATCTGACAACATAGAGGACAAGCCAGGGCTGCTCAAATCTCTTGGCTCCAAATCCATGCTCTTTTTAAGGCAGTCATGACATAACCCACCAAATGAGTGCAGATTTTAATCTCCCCAGTCAGGAGGCCTGCTGGCTGGACAACTCATGCATACACATGATGGTTCCTGGGTGGTTGACACTCATCACCCTCTGACTTCATTTTTTTTCCCCCTTTGCAAGATGGTTATTGCCCAGAGCCAGCATCTCTTTTCCAAAAAGTGAACATGCCAGAAGGGTTTTTGGAAACTGCCTTGATATCTGTCAGGAGCCAGATGATTCGCAGCAATGAACCAACGCACATAACAAGGGTACCTGATTGGATTACCAATTAGCCACCTCCACTTCTGGAGGGCGGTTGGGAAGAAGAGAAAAGGCAGTGTTTAGTTTGGGCAAATACCAAAAGGGTTTTATCATCCTCATCAAGGCATCAGCACGGCACATTAGGCCTCCTCCAAAGCTATTCCACGGGAACGTCTCTCTCCAGATGCTCCAGCAAGAGCAAACTTGTTATGCAAACATTGGGTTATTGTGTCTGAGCTACAGAAGCACCTCTGTCTGTGTCAGCGAGAGGGGAGAAACTGGCTGACTTGTGTCTGTTTTTAATGATGTCTCTGCTGCTGGGAAGTTTGGAAGCTGCAGGTAAAAATCTCCCCCCTGTGAAAATGAGGCTGACCTGGGATGTATCATCTTACCTTCAGCCGGCAGAAGCTCCTCGGTTTGGGTCAGCCCTGGGAGGCACAGGCAGATGTTTTCCCCATCTGGACCCAGCAAGAGGTGTCCCAGCGTGGGGTCTCTGGAATTTTCTTGAAAAGAAGCACAAGCATGGGCAGTGTTAGCACCAGTGAAGGGGAGGGAGGCTGAACCTGGGCTGCGCTCCCCGAATCCCCCTCGGGCAGGTGCATGTGCTCATGTGCTTGCCCGGGTGCAAGGTCAGCCCCATTCCTGGGATTCAGCAGAGCAGGGCCATTGTTTAGGCCCCTCACCTGGAATCCATGTGGGATGAACCGGGTGGGGCTGCCACTAGCCTATGTCATGCCTTTTGTGAGGGTCTGGAAAAGGGAGATCCTCTGGTCTCAGGCAGCCCTACAGGGCCGAGGTGAGGCAGGTGAGGGGCACCTTGTGCGGAGGAAAGGGAGTCCAGTCCTCCAGGTGTGTACAGCTCAGCCCCTGTGTGCAGGGCTCAGTGATTCCAGCCTCTGCTTCCTGCTCTGTCACATGCTGCTGTGCGGTACCCCGCAGCACAGCCGTGCCCTATGGATCAGATGCTGGGACTGCTTAGTGATTCTAGGGCACTCAGGCCAAGGAGGAGAAGGAAGCAGTATTTCCCTGAGTTACTTAGAAAGATTGAAAGTGTTTCTGTAACTTTATCTTCCCTATTTCCAAGGCAAAATGTCAGGAGTCAAGTTGGCCATCAGCGATAGTGGACACTTACAAGTACGTAAACACACATACACAGAGGCATGGCACACACACAGAAACACATACTTACACATATTTACACTGAGGTATGCACACATATGCATATATGCACTCATGAGGCATGCACACACATGCACTCATAGGCATTAAACACATACGTACCCTCAGACACACATATGCCTTCATACACACACTCATTTACACACACTCAGCCTGCGCACTTGAGGCTTCAGGCTGCATTCTTGTCATAGTTATGGCCCTGGCATTCATTCTAATCAGATTCTTTTTATAAAGATGTCCAAAGTAGGGTATGTGTGTCTGCGTGTCTGTGCATCTGGTGTCATTTGTCCTGGGCTTTGCAACCTCCTAGGAATACCCTTGGTGCTAATATGACTGTACCTAAAGTTTGATTCATTTGCTCAAAGTTAAGAGGGCATCATTCTCACAAAAGTATAACAGGGAGGGGAAGTGGGGGGATTGTAAAAGGAAGATTCCATCTTGAAATAGTTGGTAAGTTTCTTTGGAGGGAGGGAGGGAGAGAGAGATAGAGAATTTTATTTTGACCATTTCAGCCTTAAACAGAGAAGCTACAAACACATAATGTAGTTACTGATCCAGGTATTGAATTGAAGCTTACAAGGCTTCAAATATACATGCTCAGGTTGAGGCAGGGGGAGAGGGAGGCATCTGTCTCTGAGCAAGCATGAGATGAAATGAAAGGTGTGGTATCTGTTGTCTTCCTGGTGGCCCTCAGTTGCCACATTCCTCTCAGAGTGTGAGTTTCTCGTGTCCCTGAGTGTGATTCTGCTGTTATCAGAGATACTTTCCGTACACTGTCTGGTACCCAAGCACACACCATCTCCTTCATCTGGAGAAAGCTGCCCACCCTCTGATGAGGGAGAAGCAGCCATTGGGCTGTGCTTTCTAGAAAATGGTTTGTTGGTCTCCAGCGTGGCACCTCCCTAAGGGATTTTCAGGGGTAATTTGGACTCTAAGCAATTTTTGCTTTATGTGCTGCCTTTAAATCAAAGCCTCCATGGAAGCTGGTACCGCACTGTCTTGGTTTCCTCCTGGAGTGTTGGCTCTTAGGGAGAAGAAATCCGAGTGGGGCTAAGTCATGGAGGGTGTGGCCCTGCCTCCTTCACCTTTCAGAAATTCAGAGTCCTTCTCCCTCTGTGAACAGGCCTCAGACTCTGCCCTGGACTGGAGAGTGACACCTCCCCAGGGACTCTTCCTGTTGGCAGGGTCCCCAGGCTCCCTTGCCCTGGGGGAGGGTCACGGCTTAGTTTTGAGAATGCCGGCTAAACCGAGTAGCGAGTCTCCCTGGTGAGTGCAGGGAGCTGTGTCATCTCATGCTGCTGCCAGGAGTGAGGAAAGCACAGAACAGCTTGGCAGTGCGTGTTGATGCAGAAAACCCTGAAAACATGTACTGACTCTTGAGGAATATGCGTGGCGAACACTAATCCCACTGACATTGTTGGAAACATTGCCGATTTCCCCTTTTCAGTGGGTGGCTTTCAGACAGCTTACGTGTGGCCCAGGAAGATGAATAAATTGAGCCCAGAGCCACAGACAAGCCAAAGGTGTGCATCCACGCACCCCAGGAATGATTACCTTGTCCTTCTGCTGAGAATGTCCCCCCAGCCCATCTCACATTGGAGGGGCCCATGGGGCTGCTGCGGCCTGATGTCCTGGGGCTGTCCAGACCCCTGTGGCTCTCTGGACTTTTTCTTCCTTTAATCAGGGACAGTGGTGTGGTCCCATTCTGGCCTGAGGCATTATTCTCTTCAAAAGCAAAAGGAGACGAAGCATGAGTGAGAATCTGGATCAGTAAGGAAGAGAAGGAACATCTTTTCTAACTTTGTTGTTGGCTCCTGGTGTTTAGGATAGTTTATGCCCCTCATTCTCAAGTCTGTCTCTCTTTTTCACCACTTCTAAGGAGCAAGTATCTGCCACAGCCAAGGTAGGATTACTCTTGACTAGAGTAGTGGCTGTTGGTTGGGGAACCTCCAAGAACTGGGAGGAACTGAACAGTGGTTGTTGTTATTCTCATCTTACTGATGGGCTCCTGAGATAGAAGAAAGACTAAGGCTGCAAGGTCCTTCCAGCTCTCAGTCCCAAGGCTCTAACTAGGGAGACCCCAGCTTTAGAACTCATTGGACTATTGGGTACAGATTCCAACCACAAAGCAATTTTTCTAAGCAGAAACAACAATCACATGGCTCCTCAGGGTGGTAAAGTACAAAGCAGCCCCCTCCAGATGGTAGTTAGAGGGTAATGGGGGGGGGATGATAATGCCCCAGAAAGCACATCCTGCCCTCCACCTCTGTTCTTTCTCTCACTCTTTCTCCAAATCAGCAGGGACTGCTCTAGTGAGGGTGAAACCCAGTAATCTGTGATTGAGACCTCGTCTTAATCTCAGAGAACGTGATCTTTATTTCATGTTTAACACATTCTTGCTGTTTGTTTAAAAGCTGCCTTCACACACAGTCTCAAAGTATCACAAGCTACTTCTTTACAAAGGGAAAAGGTGTCTTTACAATGGGGAAATCTAGCAGACACCTCTTTAACCAAATAATGAAATTTAACATCACTTATAAAGCAAATAATAACACATAGAATAAATCTAAAGAGATGTTTTGTGTCCCTTAATGTAACAGCGAGAAGGACACAACATCACCTACATTCTAGTTTTGCCAGAAATGTTGGATCTGAATCTAATCATGAGGAAACAGACAAATCTAAATTGAAGATAATTCTGTAAAGCAACTAGCCCATCCTCTTTACAAATGTCAATGTCATGAAAAGTGAGACTGGGGAAGTGTCCTAGATGAAAAGATTCTAAAGAGATGTGACAACTAAATACAATGTATGATTCTGAATCGAATCTTGGATTGATTGGGAAAAAAACAGCTGTGAGGAACATTATTGGTATAATTAGAGACATTTGAATATGGGTTATATATGAGGAAATAGTGTTACATCCAAGTTAATTTTCCTGAGTGTGATCGTTATGAGGGAGAAGAGCCTTGCTTTTGGGAGATCTGTGCTGATCAGGGAAGAAATGTACAAAGTCTGCAGTTTAGTCTCAGATGGTTCAGCAATGAAATAAAATATGTATGTGTGTATGTGCATATGTAAAATCTGGCTTCATTTTTATGATATTAGAAGTGAAACAATCCAGGGCTAAGCAAGTAAATGGGTCTGGGCAACTTCTGGGGCAATGGGACAGTCCCACTTACTAGCTTCAAACGCCCTTGCCCCAGGGACCCCTGTGTGAGAAAGACTGGCATGCAAATCTTACCTCTTTGAACTTTTTTTTTTTTAAATGCGTCTATTACCAGGCTGAGTCACATACTGAACTAACTAACATACTGAAGTAACCAAAATATCAGGGACTTCTTAGACCAGCTTTTCCCTGGAGGAACACCTCGGGGACACAGCAGCTCAAAACGAGTGGAGGGCAGTGTGAGGTGATCAGCACAAAAATGACACTCACTGGGGTTGTCATCCCTTCCAGTGGCTCAGGCTGTGCCCCCAACACTGTGGTGCACAGACGGAAAGCTGCTTTCTTACCTGTCTGCACACAGAGTGGCCCTTGTGCATACTTGGATTTTTTTTAAAAAGGAAACTTCAAAGTCTTTAGGAACATTAACTGTCACTTAAGGGATAGAGTAAACAAGCCCTGCTTCACTAATCAAAGGACGTTCTCAAAACTGAAATGTCTCATGAATGCCCTGATCTGGGTTCATTGTTTTGTTTATTCCAAGAGGCAGTGTAGTATAATGGGGATGACACACAGGTTCCGGCACCAGAAGTCCTCAGCTCCAATCCCAGAGAGGCCACTTGTTGTCGTGTGACCTCAGATAAGTTACTCATCTCCCAGTGTCTCAGATTTCTGATCTACGAAATGAGGGTAAGACTGTCTTGAGGTCTAAATGAGACACGATGTGTTAAAAACCCAGGACAGTGCCTGGCACAGGGGAAGAACTCCTTAAATATTAATGGCTATCCTTCTATTTCTGACTACCACTAGTCAGAGATCACCTAACATTTGTGATACTGTATCTTGCCTTTGGGGAAGGAGGTTCAATTTTCTGAAAATGAAGGGCTTTCTAAATATGGACCATTATTTCCAACCTATCAACACATAAAGATAAATACACTTTGATGCACTCATGTGTATAATTTTAAATGTCCATATGATGTTTTGAAAATATGGAGTAAGCACTTTTATTGATAGCATGAACTTTTAAAGAATAAATGTATATTCCCAAGTAAATTAAAAATGAAATTACATTGGTTAAAAACATTGAATAAACTATAAAGCATGCAGCAAATATTTAGCAAGTTTGGTGCTGTTTTATATTTGCAACCCGAAAACATTAGTAGGGGGATGATTTAGTGAGTAAGTGATTTGTGAGCTAAGACACCAAGTTGGTTTTATTGCAGCACTTTGGGTAAGGCAGCTGCTGCCTGAACAGAAGCCATCTTCATGTGACTGGGGAGGAGCTACCTCCCTTCTAGCTTCCTTTTTTGTGGCTGAGGATCCTCATGTGTCTTGCCTTGCTCCCCTTTGGAGTGAGAGTCCTGTGGGATGCCAGAGGGAAAGAATAGCTACCTTGAGGCGAGAGTGTGTCCCTGCCTGTGTCCACTGGGAGATGCACTGTTAATTGCCTTGGCCATTTTAGGGACGCATGCTTCAGGGGAGGCCTCCGTAACAAAGGCCTGGACTCTTCATCTGTTTCAGGTGCTGACTCAGGGTGTGGAGCACCTAGGAGACAAAGAGAAAGCCAAGTTATAGTAGACATACTTGCCAGCTGTCTCTTCTTTTTGGGGACCTATCTCTCTCGTGCTTATACCATGTGGTTTGGGTGGTTCATTCCCTGGCTCCAGGGATGGGCGTGTGACTGAAGCCTGGCCAATGAGAGCACCTCATTGCCTTAGCCATGGTGATTGGGTCTAGGGTGGCCACAATGCCCAAGCCTGGCCAGTCAAAGGTAATTCTGGTACTTTATGCAAGAGCTTTTAAGAGGCATATCCTTTCTACTGGGATTAACAGGTAGGAGATTATCACAGGATTGCAGGAGGCCATCTTTACCACCACATGAGGACAACCTGCTTTGAGATGAAAGGCTAACAGAGCTGAGAGACTTAGACAAATAGTGTCCAGACATTTTCTGAGGCAAGGATCCAGACGAACCTAGGACTGGCTGATCCTTGCCCTACCCAATTCCATGAGCTAATACTTTTTTTTTTTTTTGCTTTAGAGAACTTGAGTTTGGCTTCAAACTCTTGTTACTGAGCGAGTCCTCACTGATACACAAAGGAAGGAAGAAATCAATGGATTCGCTTTTTCTAAACTTTATTCCTAATTTTCATTTAGCAGTGTGTTGGCAAGCTCAGTGGATCTAATAGTTTTAAGAACCTGGTTCATGATGGCCTGGTGACATTCCTTCCAGGGTCATCATAGAAGACAATCAGGATTTAAATGAATCCTGCTAACAGTCCTATCTTTGTATGTATTAAACATGTCTTTTTATTCTACTGTTTTGACATCTGGGACTTTACTGACCCTGGGGAGACTGTTCCTCCCAGGGTCAGCCAATTCTTAGAGACAGTAAAGGACCACCTGGAAAGGGCTATTTCATATAGAAACCGACCAATCTAGAACCCCCATCTAACCGCAGCCCTCACCATGACTTCCTTTATCCAGCTCCTAACACTCCCAGGCCACTATCCCCAGGGTCAGGTATCAGAAATTAATTACCTTAGTGCTAGGTACCAGAAAACCAGGGACAGCCTGGATGCACAGAGCCTGCCTGAACTATTCAAACTAGCCCATCCCAAATCTGCTTAGCTTGCTTACTCTGTCTTGCCCATTCCTTCCTGCAAAAAATGCAATAAAGACTCTTGCCCGTTCCCCACCCCTCAGCCCTTCTGCCTTCTAACTGACCGTGGTTCTTCTCCATGTGGTCCTCTGGGGCATGGCACGTCCTTTCCTCTTGGGAACTGTGAGTAACAGGCTATCTTTTCAATGGCTATCTTTTCCTGATCTGTTGGCCTCATCATACCTGAATAATTTTTAAAAAAGCCCTATGTTTAAAAATACTGTGTTTTTTAAAGGAGCTAAGTAATTTTTTTTGAAAGGTAAAAATCTATGTACAGTGAAATGTGTAAATCTTAAGTGTACCATTCAATGAGTTCTGACAAATTGTATATATCTATGCAGCTAACCAAGACTCAGAACACTTACTTCACCACAGAAAGTTCCCTTATGCCCCCATCCATTGACTGGTCTTTTAAGCACAACAGTTAGATATTCTTCTTCACAGTGAGAATTCCAAAGAGCCGTAGAACAAAAACTGAGAAATGAGTGGCAGTTTCTGCTGAGGTTTCTGGAAAGCTCAGAACTAGGACTCTTTAAAAATTAGAGTCAGCTTTTTAGAGAGTTGCCTTTTGCCTCAGGCTGCCCAGAGAAGTCCCAGGGACAAGAATGTGTCTTAGGCTAGGGTGTTGTGGAATGACTTGGGAAAGCCAGAAAGAATTTCTCCTTGTGGTACGGGGTGAGTCGAGCAGTCACTCGGAAAGCCTCTTTCAAAAAGCCTTTCTAAGTAGATCCCAGCTGGAACTGAGCTCTCCCTTACCCATACTCTCTTAGCACTTTGAGTAGAAGCACAGAATCTCTGGCCTGACAGAAATTGTAGAAATCACCTGATGGTAATAATAATGTTCCCTAATTCAAAATCAGGAAAATGGCTCTTCAGACAAACTTTTATCTTTCTTTTATAAAACGAAGATCCAAAGATCAAAATATCCTTTTTTATCTTGGCTATCCAAATCCAGTGCTTACCTAAAGCAATGAATTCATCCCAGATGTCTGATAACATCTGTTTCTCTATTCTATTTAACCAGCTTTTTAACTTTTTCAATTTCAATTTTAGTTGTCCTGTTTGTATATTGTATTTTTATTTGTTGTAAGCTGCCTGAAAATTCTGCACCTTTATAACATCTGCAGTGCATTGGACTTATTTATGGGTATAAATAAGTCCATTTCCTTTCACAGTTTAGCAAAATGCTCTGCTTGATGAAGGGTTCAATAAGTATTTAAAAAACTGAGTTGAATGTGACCAGAAGAGACCTACTTCTAAATTTATCCTTTTTCTTTCCTAAAAAAAAAATTCTCTCAAGGTGGTGACCCTGGAGAGGATCAGCCATAATTTCGGAGAGGGTTGCATTAGCGGGACCCACACCCGAGTCCTTCCTGGCCTGCCTGGATTCTCTCAGGAGACCCATTCACAGGGACCTACCTCTTCTTCGTGCTTTTCCTTTTGAGGGGTGTTGGGTGTGGAAATGAATCTCCACAGGGAAGATGAAGAGCTCTTCTGGGGGCTCCTTGGCTTTAAGGTGACTCCTCGGGGGGTCCAGGGCTCTGGGTGGTTCTTCTGAGATAGGAGGTAATTGCACAGCTTTTGGTGCCTGGAGAAAGTTTAAAAACAAACAACCCCCAATATGGCAGGTATCTAAATCCTTCTGCCTGCAGGGGACAAATGACATTGTATCTTATCAGGTGTGATTTCACTACTTCTGTACCCAAGGTTGAGAAATAAACTGACCAACCTGGGAGCTGGTTAACTCACTGGAGTAGGGGAACTTGGTTATTTCCCCATTAACCAGCCTCTGATTCCTCTGAGAAGTACAAGTGTGTTAAATGCAAGAGCCTTTGTGAGGAAATACAGTCTTTCTTTCTCTTGCAGTTGGGGAAACTGAGCTGGACTGAAACAATAGAGCCGAGATTTCCATGTCTGGAGAGGGAGAAATCTTGGCTTGTGTCTTTATGGGAAAAAAGGAAGGCTCAGACTATGGCCTGTGGTAACCTTTTAGGTAAGAAAGGGCGGAAAAGAGGAGTACACGTTTGTATTTGCTTACCTCATGTGGTCTCTCTCAGCCTCAATTTCTCCCTCTATAAAGTGGAGGGAATCATGCCACCCACCTCATAAGGCTGCCGTGAGGATTGGATGAGCAAATTATATATGGTAACAATAGTGTTTGGAACTAGCCTTATTTATATGATATTTCCTTGAGAGAGGAGTCTTCTCTTATTAGAGTTTAATACCTAATCTTACCACTAGCAGAATACCTAGGTGTCTCCACACATCTGCATTATGAACAGAGCTAAAAAAAGAATCACTGCGTGTCAGAATCAGCCACAATTTTAGCCCAGTTTTTTAATATCCCCAACCCCCCAAAACGTGTGTGTGTGTGTGTGTGTGTGTGTGTATACACAGAGAGAGAGAGAGAAATGCTAGGAGCAGTACTTAGAGCCTCCTGTTTCCAATTATTCAGAAGTTGCTGAAAATTTCTTCTTTTAGTTTGCAGCTTTTAACATATGAACTTGGCTCTATGAAATGTATATGTGTGCTGGGTTTCAGGGAGTTCAATTTCACAGGCAGAAAAATAAAAACGTTTCTCACTTTTTAGTGTTCAAAAAGAAAAAAAGATCAGAAACACACACAAGCATCCTACGTGTTTAGAGTTGAATGAGGAAGGAAATTCAACCAAATAAATTCAGGGTAATATGTATAATTTTGAGACATTAAGAAAATGATTAACCCAACACATGCACATAGGATCTTTATGTTCCTGGAGACCTTCACTGTCCAGGTGCCAGCTGCCCACCAACTGCCCTTTTCTGAATACTGACCTTGTGTATTTTGTTTGACAAGGTTTGCATTGGGAAATCTATGTGGAAACTCAAATGGTTTATGTGACATTTTGCTGACAAGCCAAGCCTTAATTTCGCTATTGTAATTAAAATTTTACAGAGTTTTAACATAGTGGAAATATTGCTTTTCTCTGCTAAGTCATATGCATGGGTTGAGGAAAGGGATTCCTGTCCTCTGAGCCTGGCTTGATTCCAGGCTGACCTGGGTGTGAGACTGAGGGCTTTTCTTAGGCCTCAGTGACCCTGCCAGGTCAGGCCTGCTGTTTAATCTGGGTCCAAAGGAACCTGGGAAAACTGAGGCCCTTCTGGTGTAGATGGAAAGGTTTATTTAGATCAGCTTAGCTACAGGAAATCAGAGAAAATCCTGAACAGATAGAAAATGACCTCCCTCCTTGTCACTGGTTTCTCAGGGCCACTTCAGGTGGCAGAATCCCCACCATGAACTAACATTGCTGTAGTTCCCAATTGGATACATGCTATTGTCACAGAAATGCATTATCTCCTTTAATCCTTCCCTCAGCCCTGTGAGGTTGGCATTAATATCCATGCACACAGAGGAGCTCACTGCAGCTCAGAGTGGTGAGCCAACTGCTCAAGTCACACAGCTCCATGGGGCAGAGGCAGAACCAGGCCAGGGACAGCTAAGGATCTCTCTAAGGAAGGTGTAACTGACTTCTGAAGGGGCTGATAAACCTGCAAAATTTATCCTACATTTTCAGAGATGACAGACCCTCAATTAAGCAAAACCATTGCTGGGTCCCAGCATTTTGAGTTTGAAGTGGGTCAATTGCTTACAAACTCAAATTCTGTCCTTACACGTTTACAGAGAACCCTCACCTCTTAACAGAACAAAAGATTCTGTTACCACCAGGGAGTGTGGTAACAACGTCACATGCTTTAAGGTAGAATCTGGGGCAGCACAAATTCCTTGTAAATTTAGTGTATTTAGTAAGTTACTAAATTTTCACCATTTAGTAAATTACAATAGCTTTAGTCCAGCTCCACATGGTGAGCTCAGAAGCAAGTAAGGCCAGTTCTCTGAGACATCCCTTTGAGTCATCTTATTCCTAGACTGAGATTAGTTGTTTAAGTGCAAGTGCACACACACACACAACCTTTTTCTTCTTCACTTCCCCAGGTGTGTTTTTTTCTGAGTTAGTAGCAGATGCTACAGGAGGGAAGAGACATCTTTCAGCAGGAGGCTCCTGGGACAAATGGCTGCTTCTGCCCTGGTGGAGTTTCATATTCTCTTGTTTGTCTATAGAAACAGGATGGGAATGAGAACTTATTAGTTGCAGGTGTGGGGATGGACAGTTGACTTTCTATTTTTATCACTTTTGGGTTGATGGAAAGAGAGGCAAGGAGAGTGCTGGGGCACCCAGACAGCCATGGCTTTGACTGAGGCAGCTTCAGGGAACCCTGATCTCATTATCTGGGTTGGGTTCTCGCTAGGTGAGTCAGGTGATGGAGAGAATGATAATCATAATAACTATTCTGACGTATTAAGTGCTAAGGAACAAAAATTGTGCAAAGTATTTTATATGCATTCACTCAATCCCCATAATAGCCCTATGGAGGTATTATTATTATTATTATTCCCATTCTACGGATGAGGAAACAGAGCCTCAGTAAGACTGAGTAACTTGCCCAGGATCACAGTTAGTAAGTAGGGGTAATTTGACCACAGGCAATCTGATTGCAGAATGTGTGCAGTTGAGGACCATTCTCATTCCCACCTCCAGCTGGACTTCGGTGCTCATTTTCTAAGGTGACTGGCACAAGGAAGTGACACTTGGTGTGCCTCCATGTTCTCTGCAGGATCAGGTTTACCCAGATTAACAAGCAAGACAATCGACTTCTTACCGCTGAGACCTGCCTTCTTACTGAGGAAGGTGCCTCCATAGAATGTAATGTGGGATTTGTCACTCAGGAGCCAAGAAGGATGGATGCGGGCATGCCCAAGGTCCCTCCTGGGGGGTTGCTGGGTTTTTTCATCGTGGCTTGCCTTTGAAGCGTCTATATGGCGGTGATTCTCTGTTGACGTGGCCTAGTCAGACAGATACACAGTCCTATAAACAGGCTTTATAAAGGAACAGGGTAGGTTTCTTTAACAGTCAGACCTGGTGGCTAGACTTGTGGTTCCAAGGATGAAATCTCCTTTACAGCCTTGGAAGAAAAACATGGTTATAATGGCAAGATCTCTAGTGCTAAAACGTTTTATTATTGGTGATAGAAAGAATGGCATTTAAGCATGCCTGATATATAGTGCTTTCTTGCAAAAAAAATTAAAAATCAAAATGAAGCTCTAGTATTATTGTCTTTATATCCATCATAAAATGTCTCTCCCCTTTTACTGTGTGGCATTTATCTTCTCCCCCTTTCCTGTCTCATTGGCATATGACCTTCTTGTAAGTCATACATGTTTATTCAAGATAGGAGCATGTGCTATCTGTGCTTCTCTGCACCACTGTCATTTTTTGCATACACGCACACACGCCTTAGAGTTTAGAAAGCATTTTTACATTTTAACTCCTTCAGTCCTTGTGAGATATGTATGGTAACAGCTCCATTTTACAGAAAAGGTGATTCAGGCTCAAAGTTAGTTAAGTTTCTTGGACAGGCTCACTATAGCTAACAAGATGCAGGACTCAAACCAACGCTTTTTCAACTCTAAGGCCATAAGTTCTTTTTCGTAAAGAAGATTAGAGCTGGCTAGATGGTATGTAGAGAGGATCTGTGGTTAAGTAAGTTTGGAAAACCATGAGTTAATTAAACCAGCAACTTTACCTATAGACCTTCTCAAAATGGTCCTCGTTCAAATGTGCACTGTGATTCTCTGGGATGAGAATGTGGTGTGCAGCATTTTCCAAATGTATTTGGCCATGAAACCCTTTTTCCTTCATGGAGCATCTAGCACTGCTAGGGTTCTGCAGGTGACACTTTGGGAAACAGTGGTCAGCAGGCTCAAAGTACTCTTCTCTGGAGGACCCCAAGAAATGGTGACAGGAGGGAACATCACCTCTGAAGTCCAGAAGAACAATGACAGAAGGGACCCCATTAGAAATGGTACCTCTGCCTGGATTTCATCTTCCTGCCAAGGCTGCTTCCTGAGTGGCTGCAAGCGAGTCCCCTGATTGCCATGATCCTTGGCTATAGAGCCCTGGTCCACGTGTCCAGCAGCCCCAGCTTCCCCTTCATCCAGGCCCTGCTGACCTGCAAAGGTGAACAGTGGGTCAGCTTCGTAAGCTCAGAGATAGGCATAGTGCTATTAGCTGCTTCCAAACTGCCTCCCTTCTTGCTTTTCTGAGTGTTGATCAAGGCCCTTGTTCCTCCACACTCCTTAATTCCGTATTTCTGCTAGTGCCTCCACAGAAGTGGCAGCCAGGTCAGTGGAACAGAACTGCCCTGGGAATCAAGAGGCTTAAGGTTGAGTCTTCATTTCTTGGACTCAGATTTCTTGTCTGTAAAATTGCCCTTACTTCCTTGCAGAGTTATCTGGAGCTCAAATAAGATCATGAATGTGACAGTCCTCTGTGAACTGTGTGGGGCTGAGAAATAACAGAGGTGTGATGATGGTGGGGTGAACTGCAGCCTTACTCAGTTGTCACTGAGATGCTCAGTCTGAAGAACTGGATTTTCTGGGCTGTCTGCTGTGCTGGTTGTTTACTTGTGGAAAAACTCAGATGAATGCACTGCGGTGGACGGCTGCTTAGCAGTCTGCACTTACCCTGTCTGTGCAACCCTCAGGAAGGATCTGAGTCAACAGATGACTCCAGCATAGTTAACAAATCTTTCGTCAATGGTTTAAAGGGTCCTGCAGCTATTTTCATCACTTACTCAAGGTAGATTTATTGCTGAAACAGTCTGGCAAACCTTCCTTGTTTGGAGCTGCTTTAGCAACACCTCCACTCTCTGCTTGCAGCTCCGTGGAACAATGTGGGGTTGTCTTTCAACCAGGGGCTCTGGAAGCCTTCGGGGGCTCTGTGTATGCTGGAGCACTGGACTTCTGGAGGCTCCCAGGAAGCCTCATCTTCCCCCTCTCTATTCCCTTACTCTCATCATTCCCTGCTTCATTCTTATCCTTGGTGTCACTGGATCAAGAGCCAAGTGCCCACTTGCAGGGCTACTCCCTCCCTCCAGCTCCCCTTCCTCTGCTCAATGGCTCCTTAAGGCTACTTTGGGTCTGAGCTGATGCTGACAGTGTTGGTGAAGCAGATGTAGATTCAGGCTTAGGTTCAGGGGGTCTGCTCAGGTTTTAGTGGCCCAGAGGACCCCCCGGCCCAGGGCCACATTAGTCCTGCCCCCAAGAAGACCTCAACTATATGATGTGGCACTAAAGACCTTTTTGTGTATTCTAGAATGATCCTTTGGGGTCAGACCAAAGGAGACATCCTTCCCGGTCAGATTCACCTGGGAGCTGAATGCATTTCTGAGGGTAGAGGAAGTGAAACTCTGGCCAAATGGCCACTCATCTACTGAGTGGTCTTATATGGAAGACTGTCTAAGTTGGGTCAGGGATGCTGTGGGTGGGGGGTATAGAGAAGTATTCTTCCCTTTGGCAGTATCCCAGTGATATTGAGTATATGCCTCAATCTATGAGAGGGAAACCGAGATTTTTCTTAGTAAACATCATCTCTGGCTCATCTGTTTATGCTTAATAGAAACAGGTCTACCAGCAAAGTATTGCAAGTTTCACTTGTTGAGAGGAGACCACAAAACTTTGTTTCTCTATATTTCAAATATGGATTCAGATTATACAAATAATGTGAATTGGGGTAGTAATTTAGAGCTCTCAGCGAGCTTTTTTACCTCTGGCCTCTCCTGTGATTTTTTACAACAACCCAGAAAGGATGGAATGCAAATACCATTACTCCCATTTTATAGATGAGCAAACTAAGGATGCAGGGAGCATAAGTGACTTGGCCAACATCACACTGTTGAGGATCTGGGATTTGCAGCCAGGACTTTTGCTACTTTCCCCCAATACAGTGTCTGGTAAGGTTAGGGAGGCCAAGAGGAGATAAAGTTAAAACCAATAAAACCATCAGTCAGAGTTCAAGTTGTAGCCTCTGAGCTATACCAATTGATTTTTGGTCCCTGTGATAATAGGCAGTTGGGCACTGCAATTAATAATTATGCTTTAAAAACACAAGCTAGGAATGTCTGTAACTAACATTTATTGCACACTTATGTGTCAGACACTGCGTTACCCCGTTTACCTCCCCTATCCAAGCTTATGAGGTAAAGGTGGGTATGGTCATCTCTATTTTATAAATGAGGAAATTGAGGCCCAGAGAGGTCACATAGCTTGGAATCTGGTGCAAATGGCCACACGGTTAATCGCTGTTCTATATTGGCTCTGTGTCTGCCTGATTGTGACAACTTCTTAGGGAAGTCACTTGATCCCTTAGCTGTGCAGGGTTGATCTACTCCCAGAATGGAAGTACTGCAGCCCACTGTCCAGTGTTTTTAGATCCTACAGCATCAAAGTTAAAGATATTAACTGGAGACAATAGGATATTTGTGTGGAAGGGCATAAGGGAATGGTGAGGTGTGGAGGGGCAGAAGGTTCTAACACAGGAGCATTGCTGGGTGAGTTCACCACTCTTAGGACACGGGTGGCTCAGAAACTTGATATCTTCAGTGCTTCAGAATCAGCTTGTCTCAGGGATGTTGACCCACATTAGCCAAAGTGCATAGAGACAAGGACATCCATTACAAAGAGAAATACAGTTGCCTGACTAGCATGTTTCCCGCAGATGAACTACATATGGATCAGTTATGACCAAATCTCCCTGGTGCCAGTATCAAGACTTGAGAGAGGTGCATGGCAGGAATGTTAATGGCACCAGGCTCTGAGAACCTGCCACGTCCTTCTATACTCATTTTAGAGATCAAATTCTCTACTTATTTTGACCAGGTCCTTTCCCAAGTACAGGGCTTGGTTAGGCAATACTATTGTTTCTGGAAAATTCTTGTTTTATTTCAGAAAAATTAACTTTATATTATGTTAGCCTCTTGTCCTTTCCTTCTCTTTTCTCAAAAACATTGGTTCTAGTCAAGACCCTATTCTTTGCCCATTAGTGCTACCCAGTCATCTTGCCCCATCTCCCTTAGCAAAGGCAACTCTGGCTCTTTTTATGCTTCAGGTTCCCAAGAATAATAGTGATAGGTGGAATCCCCATAGCACTGAGCAGCTTACAGATGGCTCACAATAATTTTCTGTGCAATAACGAGGTAGGTCTTATCATCCATTAGAGAGATGGGTAAACAGAAGCTCAAAGAGGTTAAGTGATTTGCTCAATATCTTACACTTAGTAAGAGAAAGAACAGCCATTGCAATCTAGATTTCTGGCTCCAAGGCCTGTAATTTTCCTTATGATATTTCCATAAAACCACAGGATTAAAGAATATTAAAGTGGAAAAGACCTAAGAAATTATCTCAAGTCTAGAGTCTAGACTTGCACTGTCCAATACACATGTGGCTATTTAGATATAAACTAAAAGTAAATAAAACTTTAAAACTAATTTTCACAGTCACACTACCTACATTTTAAATGCTTGATGGTTGCATGTGGCTAATGGCCACTATGTTGGACAGCACATATTACAGAACATTCCCTCACTGCAGAAAGCACTGTTGGACAGTGCTAGTCTAGGCCAACTCCCTCATTTTGCAAATGAGGATAATGAAACCCAGAATCCCTAGACTTTATTTTGGAAAACTTCATTTTAAGCTGTTAAAAATCCAAGTATGAGAGGTCTGGTTTGATAAAATCACATGTACCTTGTTCAAAAGATTTTCTTTGTTGAATCCAAAATGGAGGAAAGACAGGCAGGAAGTGGTATTTTGGGGGTACACCTGAAAGATCCTGTAGTGGCCTGAGATTCTTTGGTGCATTAAGTTGACTGTCCTGGAGCAGCACAGAATCCTTGATGTAGCCTGAAGAGTAGGTCAGGAGTTATTGGTGGAAACAATGGTTGCCAGTCTAGAGGTCTTGAAGATAACTACTTGTCCTAGTCTTACCTTTGGACATTGCCCATTAAGGAAGACAATCAGATGGGAGGGATTAAAAAATCAGAGAGAACCCATCAAGAGTTCTCTATCTGGTGTCTTTGGTGCCTCTGGTCCTGGGCCACATGTGTGCTTCTTCAAACCCACCATTCCCCAGAACTGGATCTCCCTGGTAGAAGAAACATGGCTGCTTCTTTGGCTTTGGGTAAAAGGCTCCTCCTGCCTCAGGAGGAGAATTTAAGTTTTCTCTTGGATGTATTCTGCTTGCTTCTGTAGCCCTCACGATTCTCAGTCCACTCCTTAAATATTTATTGAGGACTTACCAGTGGTCCCATCTCTGTGCTAGGCAGTGGGGTAGATATAGAAGAACCAGACATGGGTCCTTTTTAAAGGCACTGGCCTGTTGGAGAGACAAAACTCTCCTGTGCTCAACTGTGTGGCCCCACGTGTCAGGGTTACATAAGGCCAGAAAATGAGGATCTCAACACTGGCTGAATTTGTCAGAGAAGCCTTTGTAGAAGATGTGGGCCTGAAGGGTGGGAAGGATTTATCATAGGAGTGGAACGAAGGGACCAGAGAACGTGCTAGCATCACAAAGGTGGTGAGCTCTGAGATGTGAAGGAAGTGGGTGGCAGAGGCCTCTGGGCCACTCATCTCATACCACAGTATTGCTATTGCTCCTCCAGCTTGAGGGTCTCACCCTCAAATGGGTCTTTGGTGAGGAATTATGGCAAGGGGCCCAAGAATGCACATACAAGTGGATTTTTTCTTAAACCACACATTGTAGCCATATGACTTCCATAGAAGAGTCTAAGACATTTTTTGATGTTAAGAGGGGCTCCCCTCCTTGAAGATGTTGGGCCTGGGTTATGGGGCCGTGGCCTCCTCTGCCCTCTGCCCCACCCAACAGTAAACATATCTTTGGTTGAGAGTTTCTTTCTCACAAGTCTTAGATAAATGGAACTGCTTCGAACTGTGGCCCTGCCGTGAATGTAAAACCAATTACTGGACAAGCCCACAACTCTCATTTTCCTTCAAGTCATCACTTGCTGGGCAGAGAGTTGTTTTCTCTCCTTTCCCAAAGTAATCCTATAAACCTGTAAAGCGAGAAGAAAGTCCGTCTTCCTCTGGTCCTGTCTGTTTGTTGGTGCTGAAGGAATGGCAGTTAGCCGAGTAGGCATTGGCAGATCCTGCTGCTCACCCCTCTCTTCTCCAATAGGTTTGCCAAATAAAATATGGGATGTCCAGTTAAAATTGAATTTCAGATAAACAGTGAATACTTTTTAGTAGAAATATATACCAAATATTGCAAGTTTAACTGTTTCTGTGCATGAGTGTGTGTGTGTTAATCTGGGAACTCTGATTCCCAACCATTTCCTATTTTTATTTTTAAGCCTTTATGAAGTATGTTTGGGGGTCTCTGTTCAGCAGCAGAGTGTCCGTCTCACTCATAGATGAATTGTACCTGAGAGCCGCATCTTTAAGAGGGGGAAGCATAACATTTTTATGTCCGGGGTGGGGGTGGGTCTGAGGTCACCTCCACACGTTGGGAAGAGTGTGGAGCCGCGCGTGTGGGGAGGATCTGGCTTCTGGTCTCAGCTCTGATTTTGGCCAAATGACCTTGGACAGATTACTTTGCCCCTCTGGGCCTCTTTTCCCTTCTCTTGTAAAAGATAGGAATTGAACTGGAGGGTCTGTAGTCCCTGAGTTGGGGAGGTTGGGCAGCACGGTCTAGGGGGAATCTGGAGTGTGAGGCTGCTGAGAGGTGTGAAAGTGAAGGCGAGACTCCAAGCTGCAGTCCCTCCGCAAATGTTGGGGAGGCTAGAGGGCAAAAGGTATGGTGGGGGCTGGCGAGCTACCAGGATTGAGCACCTTTAACACAGAATTGGGCCCAAAATTCTGGTGTTTGAGGCATTGATAGGAAAAACGTTCTCATACTGGAATGTGAGGTGGGGCAGCTCAGGGTCTCCCCACTGACCTGCACATTGGAGCCGGTACATGGTGTCAGGAGGCCATGTCCGCAGGAGGCCACGGAGGTATCTGTTGGCTGAATACCCAGGCTGGATCTGCCGTAGGCCCTGGCTCTCTGGTTGGCTTCGGAAGTGGAGGTACGGCTGCCAGGCTCTTCCCTGTTCTCTCTGTGGGGACACCAGTCAGGAAACAGTATGGCTGCTGGGCCTTGAGCCTCCCAGTGATACAGACTGGTTAGCACAGTCCTCATCAGTAATCTGGGAGACTCCCAGAAGGTGCCGGAAGGCACCAGAAACAGATGCCTCAGCCAACAGACATAAACCAAGAGCCCACAGAGCAAAACTCTGAAAGGCCCCTGTGGATTTACAGTTGGAAGGAGAAGGAGCAATGAGAAATACCAGACCCTATCTTGAGATAGAGCATCAGAAAAGGATAAAGGGCCTCAAAAGAAAACCCATTACTTAGTTCAGCCTGTGGAAATCAGTTTAGTACCATAAAAAGCACAGCAATTTTCAGGAAAGCCAGCTTGACAAAGCAGCATCAGTATTTAATGTTTGTAATGTGAATAATGGGACAAACTCTGTCCATGTTATAGGGAGCATGGCATTTGAAAATACCTCGTTCTGCTGCATTTCATTGCAATCAGGGAACAGTTTCTGGAAACCTGTCTGCCAAAGTCACTATGCAGGACATCATGGGAGATAAGTGTAAATAATAGCATCTTACACTTGGTTAGGGCTTTATATTATACAAATAACTTTCACCTCATTATAATCCTTTAAGGTAGATGAGTTAATATCATAACCACTTAAATGAGGCAGAAACTCTCTAAGGATGATCCCTCAAGCACAAGAATAGCAAACACTTGGTACTTCTGTTGACATCTCTCCCTCTCCTTGTGGCCCATGGCAGACATTACCAACAATCATGGCATTTTTTGCCCCCTTAACGGAGGCACTGGGGATTGAACCCAGGACCTCATGCGTGCCAAGCACACACTCTACCCCACCACCCCCAATCATGGCATTCTTGACTGATGAATTGATTGTGATCTCAGAATCCTTCTCTTAAAATTAAAAAAAAATCAAGTCATAATTTATATATAATAACATGCATATAGCTTAAATGTTCAGTTTAATAAAATCTGATAGTTGTATACACCTTTATAACCACCACATGAAACAAAATATAGAACGTTTTCATCAGTCCAGAAAATTGCCTCATGCCACTTTCTAGTCAATGTCTTCACACCCACCAGGTAATCACTATTTTCAGGTGAGGTCAGTAAGCCACTGGTCTGAGTTTCTTTGCCGTGTCCTGCTTGAATTTTCCAAGGAAGGGTTTAAAAAAAAAAAAAGAAAAAAGAAAAACATGATGGTAATATATAACCCGCTTGATGAGGGGAGAGGAAGACCTTAGGGTTGGGTCCTTGCCCTGCTGGGCAGAGCTGTGGTTTGCTCCCATTCTGATGTATTCAGAAGATGGAAATGCCACAAAGGGCAGCACACAGCTGTGGCTGAGGATTCAAGACCACCAGAGACTCCTCTTTAGCTAGAGAGGGTTGAAAAGCCACAGTCTATAAAATGAAGGAATCTCTTTGCTGGGGAGAGAGAAACAGGTTGCCAGGGCATCATTCATTCATTCATCCATCCATCAAACAACTCCAATGCCAGCACTGGAGAAAAAGTGATGAGTAAGGCAGTTTGATAACTAATAAATAAGTTGAGAAGTGATAAAAGAAAGCATGGCTTATTATTCAATTGGCTCTACTCTCTTAGAATTAGTTAAATACATGAAAGCTTGGAATCCAAGTACAGAGCACCAACTGGACCTTGATGTCTGGACAGTTTATGTGGCAGGTTCTTCAAGTGCAAAAAGAGCATGAAAAATTCAGACCCACGTATATCTTGAGGCTTTTTCTGGAGGACTAGAGAGAGAGTTGTAGGGAAGGCAGTGGAAGCAAAGTGACTTCAGTTCTTTCACTCACTCCGTTTTTTCATTTGGTCATGCGACAAATATTTGTTGCACAGCTTCTGTGTGCCAGGCACTGTATTAAGCCCTGAAATGTGGAGCCATTAGTTCCAAGGCCTTTACTGGATGAACTGGAACTTCATTTCCTCCTGTAAATCTTTGCTTCCAATGACTTCCCTCTGGTTGTGATAAGACCAAGCCTCCCCTGAGATGCTGTGTCCCCTGTGCAGGTGGTGTGTTGCACTGTCTGATCTGGACAAGAGCCCCTTGTTGTTTCTCACTGGTGGGCATTTCTGATGCAACTGCACTGGACTGCTTGATCAGTGGGGCAGGGAGTTGCCGAGAAGTTAGGGAACCCCTTATCCCAGAATTTGGCATATCTAAATACATTTTTGCTTAGAGTTTGAAAGCTGATCTTGGCTTCTGTAATAGGGTCCTATTGCTGCTGTAACAGATTACTACACACTTAGTGACTTAAACAATATGAATTTGCTATCTTACAGTTCTGGAGGTCAGAAGTTTGAAATGGGTCCCACTGGGCTAAAATCAAGGTGTTACAGGGCTTTCTGGAGGCTCTAGGGAAGAATCTGTTCCTTTACCTTTTCCAGTTTCTAGGGGCTGCATGCATTCCTTGGTTTGTGACCCCTTCCTCTATCTTCCAAACCAGCAGCATTGGGCTGAGTCCTTCTCATGCTGCTATCTCTCTGGCTCTCTCTTTTGATTCCTTCTTCCACTTTTAAGAATCCTTGTGATTATACCTGGCCTGCCTAGATAATCCAGGATAGTCTCCCTGTTTTAAGGCCATCTGGTTAGAGACCTTAGCTCCATCTGCAACCTTAATTTCCCTTTGCCATGTAACCTAATATATTCATAGGCTCCAGGGATTAGGATGTAGACACCTTTGGGGAGGGGGGCATTATTCTGCCTACCACAGCTTCTTTAAGTTTTTTCTAGTTTTCTGGTTTCTCTTAGTAATTTCTCTAAGTATGCATATGAAATTGGTTGATAAATTTCACATCCTATTGGATAAACTGAAGCACTGAAGGAGGCCTAAGGAAAAAGATCAGTCAGGGTTAAATCTATCCACTTATTTCCAACGTGTGGATGATATGTTAAGTGGAAAAAAGCAAGATACTAGAGAGACTGTGTGCAATGACAACCTCATAGAAGTTTATTTTATAAATGTATAATCATGGTGGAAAGACTGAAGAAGATACATTACAATTCTAATAACAATGGTATTAGGGTGCTGGGCATAAGATTACAGATAGTTTTTCCTTCTCTTTTTTTTATATAATCAAAATCTCAGTAAAATGGTTAGATTATATTTATAAATGGAAAACATGCTAAAAATTTAATTTATTTTATTGAACCCACCCTCCTCCTAAACATTCTCCACATTTCTCTATTCCTTCTCCAACATTATCCTGGACTGTTAGCCATCAAAAGTTACTCTAAAACATAAAAAGAGACAGAAGGGAGCCAGGAAGGGAGTTTCTGGAACAGGGAAATAAATGACAGCAGGAGGCTGGCTGCTGATGGTTCCAGACTTCTCAGGCCTGCCTTGGCTTTGCTAACCAACCCTGCTCTTGGTCTCTTCTGAAATGAGTAATTAGTGTGCACAGAGAGGTCTCATATCCACATGCCAGCATCAGTGCTTCCTCTAACGAGGGACTTGCTCTGGCCCTCTGCCTTCCCAGTGCCCACCAGGCCTCCATATGCAGAGGGGCAAAGGGGCGCCCCTGCACCTGTCCCCATCCCCACACGGGCTGTCAAGGCCCCCCACCCCAGTGCTGGCAGGCGAGGGTTTTCAGCGGATGGAAGGAGCCAGTGTGGGCAGTGCTTCCATTCATGGGGTGGCAGGGTGCCAGTATCCCCAGGAAGACAAGAAAGGCCTGGATCATCAGCTGCCATCGTACCCTACAGGGTGGCCAGTCTTTGTGTGCAGGAGTCAATAGAGAGGTGAAGAGAGAGCAAGCAAAGCCTTCTGTAATTTGACCCCACCCACTTCTCCAGGTGAGAGCCACACCTGTCTAAGTACCCTGACTTTCCTCTGCTTGCTCTCCCCTCTGGGACTTCACTCACCTATGCCTAGAGAATCTCTCTCCACTTATTTTTACCACAAGACTCAGCTCAAATTTTACCTTCTCCAAGACGCCACTCAAGATTTTCCTAGTAAGTAGCAATCACAGTCCCTACCATCTACGTGCTTTGATAGTATTTTAATAGATTATAGTCCAGTGCCTCTCATAGACTGCCTTGCATCAAGTATCACGGGGCACAAATCTGCCTCCCTGACCAGATTGTACCTGTGGGTAGGGGTTATGGCCTCCCCTGCCATACCCTGGCAACAAATATGTTCATCTGACAACGATTTGTTGAGAATTTGCCATGTATCAGGCACTGCTAGGCACTGACTAATAACTACTCAAGATGTTAGCTCAGTGGAATGGGAATCTCCAAAATGTCTGTACTTTGTGCTGGCCACCTGTGCCTCGAGCTGCCCACTCCAGTCAGAAGTCCTTCTTTCTGGAGGAGTGCAGCCAGAGTCTTCTGCCCCTGGGTTGGGCTTGCTCTGGCAAAGGGCATGCCTTAGAACACAGGGTGTTTACCATTGTTATTCTACCTGTGCAGGTGTGTCTGGAGCCAGACTTGGGGCTGCCAAGTGAGTGCAGTTGGAGTCGAGGTGGGGGTGAGGTGGGAGGGGAGATATGTGTGGCCACTTGCAGCTGTGGCTGGAAAGTCTTGTCAACCCCAGTCTGACTTTAATCAGCCTTGTGTAAACACCGCCACTTTTAGCCAGCTCTTTTCTCTGCAGGTTTAATTTCTGAGATTCTGTGCAAATGATACTATCTTTCCCAAATATTTTTAATGGGCATGTGTTCTGGGTATCAAGCCATTAAGAAGAGAATCATAAAGTGTTCTGAACTTTCCCATAATTGCAATATTGTAACAGGGTTTGATTCCTGACTAAACTATTTGGCATCAAAGATCTGACCAGCCATATGTCACAAAAGCAAAGGTACAACAACTAGAATTGAAAACAGAAAAAATTAAGCTTCAGTTCCTATAGAGCTCAGTCTTCTTCAGTCTGAAACCTGGTTTCATCATTTACTAGCTTTGGGGAAATTACTTGCCCCATCTGTGCCTCAGTTTCTTTATCTGTCAAATGAGGATGATAAAAGTGCATACATAC